GTGTTTGTTTGTATTTGTATCTTCAGAAAAGTTACGGGCAAAATTATATAGCTGATAATTGTTAATGTGACACTCTGCGGTGAATATCAGCATCTTGTTGGCGCTGTTGTTGACGTTGTTTAGCGGTTTTCTTAGATCTACATCTACGTTTTCGGGCAGCATTGGCATCTCTCTGTTCTTGTCTTGTAGAATTATTCGCTGTACATAAAAAAAAAAATCGGTATAGACGGATGAGTATGTGTATATACAGAATATGAATATATGCAGATATGATATGCCGAATATATAAGCCAACATTGTCTCATTGTCTCTTGGATGGAACCAATATATCATGAGCAGTATGGAGTATCCTTAGCTATATTACGTGTTAATGAATTAATAATGGACTATGTCGAAGGTAACTAAAATGAATTGTAGAACATACTGTATTATAGATCACGATACAAAGGTAAGATATAATATATGATAATTAAAGATTATTTAATAGCTAACATTTTTTTTACTTCTTATATATATGTTCTCATTTGATAAACGCTAATAAGTAGTCTAAAAAGTCTAAAAAGTATATTATTTTATATTAATATTATTCTTATTCGCGTAATTAACACCATCAAATAAATCAAGTAAAGTCTAATAATAAGAAAGTATAATAAACGCTGATGCGTAGTCTAAAAAGTCTAAAAGGCATACGTATGATTTATATTATATTATCCTTCTTCGCATAATTAACACTATCAAATAAATCAAGTAAAACCTAATAATAAGAAAGTATAATAATTTATAGGACACGTTTCGATCGCAAATTCTATCAAATCTAATGATAATAAAGTATATATATATTTATATTTATTTAATACAATTCGAGTAACAAAATATAAAGCATATGGTAATTAGGTAGATAAATAAATAATGTGGACGCCAACCAATCAGATCACTTAAACGTGACAGACATTAAAATTTTAATAGTATAGATTTGTAAAATTCAGTAAATGTTTTTTTACTTTTCAAATTTTTAAAAATATCTATCTTACTATAAATCTAAATTTAATAAATCGATTTAATTTTTGTATGTACGTTTTTGATTATTAAATTAAAAGTAAACCAAAATTTTTTATAGATTACGAGAAGCACATTAATGTGACACGCGTCGCGTTACGTAATTAGTTTTTATGGGTAAAAATTACAGAATAACTTGTGAATCAAGCGGCGCAAATAAGACCGTTTAAAGTATAAAAACTCTTACCTGCGTTTGTCTAGGATTGAGAAAGTTCTAGCAAATAGGCAGGTACTGTATTAGTAAAGTTAGTAGGCGACAGAAGATCGGCCAAACACGCCTTAAGCTTAAACTTAATTGCCACCTATTTTAATACTTCGTGCTGACGTTACGTAAACACAATCCGGTTTGAATCGGTTTGAAACTGGTTACAAACCAGGTTTACGAATAAGTATTTTATGTTGTAACGGTGATCGGCGAGTCCGTCGCTAATGGAGACTTAGTTTCGCGTAACGATAGTAAGTGTATTTATTTATGAATGAGGAAAATTGATTGTGGCCGAAAAAACTTCTCTAACTGGACCGGATTACCTTTCCTTTATTCAATTTCTTCTTTCTTTTATACATTCTTGCATACTCATTACATAATAAAATGATAAGCAAAGACTATCAAAATCTCATGACGAAGCAATTATTATTTGATTTTCACACTACTCTTATTACATAATTCCATTAATCGATCTCATAGTGCCATTATCGATCCTTGCACGACCGGTCACGTGACAATCGTTGCGATTGTATCGCGATTCTACTTCCTTCTAACATTTCCCCTTTTTTCTAGGCGCATATCACGTTTATTGTGTTCAATACCACTATCTTCTTCCCAATATCGTGGGGAACCCAGAATTCGGTGTGAGGCGCGTTACTTTTTTCCGTGTTACAATATAAAAAATGTTTCTTGTCTAACGCTTTTTTTAAGCCCAAGGAAGATGAGTCTCAAAGGCCAATAGTCAACCTAAAAAGATTGAATAGGCACGTAAGACCTCTATAATCTCACACGATGGATAGAATAAATGATGTAATAGGTGTACTGAATAGAGGAGATTTAATGTTCTCTATCGACATTAAAGCTGCGTTTCATCATATACCAGTGCATCCTGATGCACGAAAATATTGTGTCTTTGATTTTGATGGAAGACGTTATTGTTGTATTTGCTTACCATTTGGACTAAAAACTAGCCCTACTGTATTTTCCTTTATTTTTCGGTTAGCTGTAAACTTGGCCAGAACTTCTGGAATCCATATATTTGTCTACCTTGATGAAATATTATTCATTGCGAGATCTTTACAGGAAGCAGTAGGACGTCGGAACTTTATCATTCGTAAACTAGAGTTATTGGGGTTGTCGTAAAGTGAAATCACATTTGGATCCAATTATGAAGATAAGACACTTGGATTTTTTATAGATTTACACAATGTGCGCGTTTATGTCCCCCCAGATAATAATGTCCAAACAAAATCCAATTACAATATTAGAGAATAAATCAAATAACAATGCAACAACAACGAATCCCGATCACAATCTTCTACTGGATGTCATCCTAATAGATAGAACAAGATGCTACATGTCAATAATTTATCAAAATCAAAACAAAGAAATCATTCTTACAGAACCTTCTAGAACTTCAACAATTCCTCTGCTCAAAGATTATTCTTCCAGATAGTTAATTCCTACTGTGAATGTCACCAGACCAGATTCTTCAACCCTATCTATCTTTCAAATAGAATTTTCTGAAGATAATAGCAAAAGGAGTCTTTTCATTCAGGTTTCAGTCCTCAAGGATAAACCTCTCCAACTACTGGACAAATTTCTAAACTTTCATAACTCACTTCAGAAGATCTTTACAAAGAACAGTCACTTAAGAAACCAAATCCTCCAAAGTGTTCTAGTGAAAGACTGGAACTATTTCAAGCATACTCCATGGAATATAATCTATATTAGCAAAAATTTAACCAAGAAACCAAAAACATTCTCTCTTACAAGTACATATCAACTTGGAAATACTACTCTTCCAATCACAACCTCTTCATCATTCATAAGTAAAATATCAGAAACATCAATCCTTTATAACAAATCACAAGATACCCCGGCAGCCACCAATCAAATCCAACAATCAGATCCATTTAACTTACTAGCCAATCAAGTACAACTGCTAGTACAGAATCCATATAAAGAAGATCAGTCAATGTCTATCGACTTAGACTTTCCCATTTCTGAAGATATAGAAATGGACAATACTTTGAGCATGTACACACATCAAGAAAAAGAAAACATATCCAACACAAATATCAAAAAACCAGACCACTATCAAATTGAAAGTATCCTTGACAACTTCTCAGACATTTATGTCATTTTATACTCAACCAACACCATAGGCCAGAATAATGGCCACACTCCTACCTCCTCATATTCCTTTACATCTGTATTAGCAAACTCTTGCCAACTCAGGCAACAGCAGAGAACCAAAAGACCATTAAACAACAATACCTACAAAGAAAAACTCAATATAGTACAACAAAGAATCTGGGCCTACGAAGAAGACCTGATACTGAAACACTCAGGAATAGAAGACTACAATGTATTGTTCAATGAGAATGATAATCTACACATTCCTAATGATCTTGTTACTGAACACAATTGCATTATTAACTGGGCCTCCAAGTTCATTTCTATCAGAAATGATCCAACAGAACTAATCAAACTTCTAATTGAAATTAACCAACAACCAAAAAGCAAGATGAGACAAAAACCCCACCTAGCTATCTTTATCAAAATAGAAGCAAGAGACAGAAGCTTCTTCAGCTTCAACAAAATATCTGAGCTCAAAGAAAACCACCAAAAGGAATATGAAAAATTAGATGACCAATTTCAGAGAATATACAAAAAAAAACATAAAGTCACAAAGCTTAACAGAAAAGTCCGCTCCAAAATCAAACTCTTATTAAGTGCCAGTTTCTTTATAACATACCTAAGATACATCAATGTATTTGATCTCAATCCATATCTCCTTGTACAAATTATGGAATACAGATGTAACTACCTCTGCCACTCCAGAGAAAGTGGCAAATTAGACTATCACGACCTTCTCCAGAAAAGCAAGAAAATGTTTCGAGACAACCTTCCAGAACTTCCCCTGTCCCCTGATCTAATACCAGCACAAATAAAGATCAAAATTCTCCACAGGATTTCTATAAGTGATAGGAGCATCACTGCAAGTGTCGCAGGTTCTCTCCACTCTTTATACAAATTTGACTTTTTACCAAACACATACTTCGTCACACTCCCAGACCTTTCCAACCATCCCAAAGATCTTCCTAAAGAAATCTCACATCTATTTCCAGTTAGAAATAGGAAAGACCTTAGAAACTTGGGAAAAATGATCAGAGAACTTAAGAGATACTTCCTTGTTCCCCCCAAAATTCTATCAACTTACTTCGACCTCCCACCTTTCAAAAAATCCTTCCTCTTCTCCCCTGACATGTTGGATCCAGAATTCTCTTCTCTTTTCCCACTCGACACATACGAAAATGACATTAGAGAAGCTATTCAGAAACTTAGAACCAAATACTTTTTTGAACGTCTTTCTCCCAATTTCTTCAAACCCAAGAAACCTCTTCCAATCTTCTCATCTATTATTAGTGAATATTGGGCTAAATTGGATATTCAAATCCCCACCACAAACTCTCACGACACCCAGTTTCTGATTAGAATTCTAAAATCAGAATACAAATTTTCTCTTCCTTTAGGACCTCGTTGGGTATCCCCAGAAATTGCCCAAACCAATAAACCAAGACTTTCATGAAGATTAAAGGATGTCTCTCCAGAACTTAACATTGGACAACTCTCTCGCAGTGATGACCACCTGAAAGAAAAAATCAGGGCCCTACATAATCACTATGAATTTCTAAAGATCCCTAAAGATTGGTTCACCAATTCACGAGTTTCACTACCAGAAGATCCTATCGAAATCAACAAAATTCTAGCAGACAAGAGTTTAATGACTCTGAAATTCTCACTAATCGATAATGATGCCTTATCAGCAACTATCTATTAGCTTCACCGAACATTCTTCTTCAATAGACTACCTGACTCCTCATAATCAAAGAGACGCTTC